GGGGGTACTTATGTTTTTCATGCCTTACATAGCAGCTGGACCATTGATCACGCGTCCTCGAGAGGACGGAGCATAGGGAGGGGGGCAAGAGGTCGAGCTATTTTTCGGAACGACAGGGGAGCAGAATGAGAAGGTTGACTAACGGAAAGAGATCGTGGTACACAGCACTCTCTGGTGCCCCCGCGAAACAGGGTGCTCTCGGCGGTGAGCGTTGCGGCGTTACTCGGGTTCTAGCAAAGAGGCGTTGCTTCGCTAATTGCGACCTCAAGACGGTCAGATACTCGGGAGGGGCCCTACAATGCACACTTGGCTGCTGAGCGACAAGGAAGAGGGCTGCGATGTCTCGATCGACAATTCAGCTTCTACGGAATGCTTGACTGTCATGCCATGCCGCTGTAACGCGACAAATCGCTCCAACACTATCTCTTCGCAAGGGCCTTGAAAGAAATCTGTCCGACGTTCTCCAGCACCTGAGCCCAAGCGGGGACAACGCCACACCTTCTCCACCACAGCTCTAAAAACGACCCGAGACGTTAACGTTGCCGGGGCCTACCTCCGGTAGTGAGCACCACAGACGCTGCTGGCAACCCGATTTCGTCCCCGTCACCCCCCTGCTGGTAGCGCACCCCCGTGACCCGGCCGGCGTCGTTGGTCGTCAAGGATGTCACGTGCGCGTTGGTCATGACCGATATCTTGGGGATACCGGGGAGGTAGTCAAAGGGGAGGAGAGGCACACCCGTTCATCTTGTCAAGGATTCAAACCGTTTGGCCGCCGCGCATGTCTCTCTCGAGAGAGCGAAAATGTATCCGCGGTTGTCTGCACGATGGATCCTTGCAGCAGCTTGAGGGCACCGTGGCATGCGATGCGATCTTGCTGTAAATCGTTGAAATACTTTACAGCCTAACAAGTCTTGAAACAGACAGCAATCGATGTACCGGACAGATACCCGCGGGATGCAAGTGCAACTCCGATTTGGGCCTAGCCGTTTGCATCTCAACAGACGACGTCATGGCCACTAACGACAATCCCTATCGTCCCATCCCGGCCTCGCAGTGGCGCCGTCAACAGGAAAGCACCATACCGTCGCACAAGTGCGGGAATCCTATCCCAACAGTCGTCCCGGCTTCATCTTCAGTCAACTCCCCGCGCGTTACGGATAAAAATATATATATCAGAAGCGGGGCGCCCCGACAGATACATTAAAGAGGGGGGGGTACTAATCCTACGGACACTTCACGAAAAGACATGGGTCCTGAAAGCGGGATCGGCACTATCCCTGATGCTAGACATCGCTTACCTCCTCCGGGTGGTCCTCGACAAACTTGTACACCTTCTGCACCGTCGTCCATCCTACAGGCACGGGGCGGCCGTCGGATCCCGGCGGGATGCGGTGTGTCCGGGGCGCCTGTGTCCATAAATAAATCAACGTCAAGGGGAGCACGGTGGCGGATCAAGGAAGCAACAGAGGATGAGTCGCGAGGGTGCAGCGGTTACAATACACCGTGACCTGAACTGGGCGCGCCTTCCTGCCTCTCGGGCTTGTTGAGGAGCACCATAAAACGACCAAGGTGCCAAGAGGTGCGGTACCTAGCCATGCCACTGTTTGTGGTGCGAGGTTAGAACACCCTTATGGGGACTTCCACTCCAGCCATTGCTAACAACGCACACGAGCATACGCAGCAGCCGACCACAGCACCAAAGGGTACCGGAACCACGCAACGAGGGGGGAGATGGGCAACAAAACATCGGCTTTGCTATCCAACGACTTATAGCAGCGACCGAGCCCACCAAAAACACAACTGGAAACAATAGGCGACCAACCAGTACATAGAAAAAAAGAACCAGTGAAAGTCTCCAACACCACCTCAAGGATAACAAAGACGCCAGCGTGTGGTCCGCACCTGGTGCCCGCCGCACTGAGAGAGGAGAGACAGGTCCAGCCCGAAAGACTCCAGCCACTCCACGGCCTGCAAGAACAAAAATACCCCGCAAAAAACAGCGGAGGAGGCAGATCGACCGATACATCGTCGCAGGTATTAATATAATAGTCACGCGAACGGAAACGAAGCGCCGTGCATGTAGCCGAAAGCGCCACAACCGTTGCAGCAGACAGCAACAGCAGCGGCTGATGCACATCAGGGAAGACTAAACAATCGGAGGGAAGCGGTTATTTCTGACACGCTCGAGGATCGGGAAATACTTGCCAAGCTGATATCAAGGAACGACCACAGATTGAGCAAGAAATGGCACGAGCGGCGTTGATCAGTATCGTGCAAACAGCAAGAGCATCATACAAGCTTGGAGCCGGGAATAATCCCAGAACAGCACTTATTATTATCTCGCCCCAGCACCCCCTCTGCCCCTGTTGCTCTACTGCATCTTATCCACACACGGCACGTAGAGCAAGTGCGGCACCTCAGCGCTCTTTTCCACCAAGACATCCACTAGCTCGGGCGTGCTGCGCCCCCCGCCAGACTTGATGATGTCGGCCTTGAAGGACTGCAGCGTGTCGCTGTGATCCTTCAACGTCTGGGCCGTGGTCAAAGCCCCGTTGATACCTGGTCACACAAAGTTGCACCCATTGCGACAAGAAACGAGACAGAAACAAAAATGAAATACCCAGGCCAGGTGTGTTGGCGAGCGTGACCAGTGGGATATTCCGGAGCATAATCTTTGCACTACCTCCCGAAGTGGTGATACAGGCCAGCATCCACTATTGCCAAGACAGGAGGGTTTTCCGGAGTTTGTCTGGCACGGGGGGTGCTCCGTAGTTTCGGGAGTGGACATCAGTGGGACGTACGTGCACAGAGGCGGCGGATGCGGGAACAGTACGTAAACGGTGTGGGGTATGTAAACGGCATAGCCTTTGATTCGTGCGCTACCGTGACGCATAGGGGGGATGGGGTCTCGAAGAACCAAACGGGGCATGTGCAGTAGGTCGCACGAGATACTAACCCTTGCGGGTTCGAGCCAATTCCGGCGGTTCTTGTTGATTGGCATCTAACGCAGCCCTACCACTTGATCTGAGCGCAAGCGAAGTTATCGCGCGCGTTGCAGACAGGGCACGATCAAAACGTCGCACGTGTGGTATCTTGCAGCAGGTTGTATGGCAACGCGGCCGAAGGGCTGACTGGGGCTGAATTTCCAGCAGGCACACTCGCACACACGCACTCACCTGACGTAGCCTTGGCAGAGTTCCCGCCGATCCGGCTGCCCTTTTCCATCAACACCACCGGAGCCCCTGCCCTGGATGCCTCAATGGAAGCAGCCAGGCCCGCCAAGCCTCCACCTACTACCACCACAGGGAGCTGTCGAGCAAGCAGCGATACGGGAAGTGAACCAAGGTCGATAATGACCTAGTGCATGCGAAGCCTGGTGCTTGGGGGGGTTGGGGCATGACTGGTGGTGGCAAGCTAAGGGGTTGGGCATTTGGACATCGCAGAGAGGTTTTGGAGGAACAGCGATAGACATTCAATGTTGTTTCGGCAAGCGTGAGCGTGGGTGCTTCGACGACGGCCAAAATTCGGAAATAAAGTCGGGGAAGGTTGGGTACACGTGAATACCATGTTATGTTACGAACACATGGAATGCCCGCGAGACGTCAGTAAATTCTGGGGCCGAGCGAACCTTTGTCGTTTCTGGCCCAAACACCACCTCCATTCCGTCTTTGTTGTCAAGACTTGTGCATACGATCACAACAAGGCTAACACCTGTTAGGGACAAAACCCCAATCATAGAAATCTGCCGAATTCTCCACAGCAGTGAAACACGACAACATAGCACTGCTGTGGTGTTATCTGCAGTCGTTCAAGAGCAAACGTTCTAGAAAGCTCTCACTCTTCTGTACTGCCGGATCCTGCTGAGTATCTTCAACGACAGCTCGAAACACCGAGGTACGTGCCGAGGCGTACAGTGTAGATCGATTAACCAAGGTTTGGGTGTGTTTGATGAGCGAAGCTCAGTCCTTAGTCTGACCCAGTGCTCCGGGGGTATGGAAGGGGGGGGAAAGAAAGCAAGGTGCCCTTGCGCTGAAACCGTACTGAAACGCTGGTGAGGGCATTGCAGTAGAGCCAGCACCAAAGGCTTTCGCCTTCCGGACGCGTTATTTCGATTGCCAGCACGCGATTCTGGACATCTGGCTGCTCGTGGCGCATTTGGGTGTTGCCATGCTCAACTTGTGAGCCATCTGAATCGTTCGGCATTCGCTGCCATACAGAAAGCACCAGACGCATTGCATCGGCTTGCTACCGGCAACCGCAGATTCGTAGCTGGAACAATAATGCTAGCAACAGATAGCCCCTCACATCGTTAGCCAGATAACATAACTGCTGTTGTGCTTCGCGGGAAGCTTTTGGACGACGCTTGGGGCGAGGACGCAGAAGGGCCCAAACATGGAACAGACAACGGACATGCAGAGTCTCTGTTCACCAGCAAGGCGAATACAAGGTAGATCTCCTACCAGGCATAAACTGCACTGCCTCAATGAGGTTTCGAAAACACGCCGCACCTGCTGTTCTCTGATCGGATTCGTAGATCGCTCACCCAAGCCTCCTCCGACGGAGTTGAACATAGTCACGAGCGATTTAAGCGAGACACGCATGGCACCGGCTTTCTTTGTCGCCGTGTAGCCTCTTCCGTGCTGTGCCTCGAGCAGGCAGAAGGTGTGACACGTGGGTTGTCCAACAGCAGCAGACCGGTGGGGGCACAGGCGACAGAGCGGCCGATTGGGCACGGGTGTATGGTTATTCAAATTTTGAAAACTGGCCCCCACACATGGCGCAATGGCGGCGCGATTCTTGCCTACTTGCCTCAGACACCCCAGCGGATACTACAAGCAGTAGAACAAACGATGTCTTCGACCACCTTCGAGGAACGTAAGAGTGTCACTCTGGCGGCCTGCTTCAACGACAAGCGTTGCCATCGGCGCCTGATCGGCCATCGAGCTCGCACGTTTGATTTTCAGGTAAAATTCGAATTTCCTCTTCACGGACGGTACATGTAGACTACTGCTGTACACGCACATGCAACGGACCCTTAGGTATTCGACTAAGCCGGCAGAACTGCATTGCCGCGGCTTGCAGTACCTAGCGATGACATCTTTGTGACTATTTTTTGCCGTTCAGAGTTCATCCGAGATCGAACCGATGACTGTATGCAAATGGAATTTAAATATTTTGCAGTTGCGCCGCACGGATAAACCACGCTCGGGTGGTACAAGCAGTAATTACACAGAGCATGCAGCGACAGACCACGTGTACACGATCAATACAACCAATTTTCCACAGTGTAGTAATTCGTATCATTTGTACCTGTATCATGTACTACATGCGCCGGTCGCCCCGTCGTGGTCTCGTGGGAAACCTCGAGAACCTTGAAGTATTGTTCTTGTAGCTGGTTGTGGGAAATCTCTCTTGATATTACACTTGCCTTATGAAAGAGGAAGGAGTGCTGCTGAACCCTTCTCGCGTTGAACTCGACGGCAAGTACCGCAGGGAGGAGGTGTTACAACATCAAAAATACGAAAGAATGCGAAGACCCCCGCGATATCTACGTTCCTGCTGTGTGACCCCGGCTGATGCGTCAAGTACGGAACGTGCCCAGCACTGCGAGCTGAGCACCTCCATTCTGAAGCCCCCCCCCCCCCCTATTTTCGCAAGCGGGGCGGAGTACCCATACTCGCAAGGAAGGCGCTCGTGTTAAGGAATAAACGGTGTATCTTGACATCTCCGAGCACACGGGTAGTCTTCCAAAGCGTTGTCGCTGAAAGGGCCGAGGCCGACACGCGATGGAGCCGTTTAACAGTCAGTCTTCGTTCGCACGAGGACGTACCCAAACTCTGGGTCACGAGCAGTTTGTTGGATACAGCCTGACCGTCATGCCACTATCTGCACAGCTGGCCGTGAAGTACGGTGTCGATCTGTTCGGTACGCACTCACCGTGTGCCGTCCCGAGTTTCGTAGGGATGTTAGGCTTTTTGGTCGAAGGCACCACGGCCAGCTCTAAATCGATTACATCTCCGACCCCATGTCTCACCCCAACCCCAATGCAGTTCCACCCAACAGAAGACGCCGCTATATCAGCGAGCGAGGACGGGACGGCCCGCGTGTGGGACCTCAGCAGCGGAAGGTGCGCCAAGTCCCTTGAGGGGCACAACAAAAAACACGAGGTGTTGCGGGCGTGCTGGGCGCCGCCGGGGGCGGCGAACGACTCGGTCTCCGTTGCTACCGGCTCGGCCGACGGCATCGTCCGCCTGTGGGGCATACGGCATGGCGACGGCAGGGACGGAAAGAGCGGGTTAGACCGATACCAATCCCTCACGGTCGTGGGGCAGCTGCGGCATCGCAACGAGGCGAAAGGGCTCGACGGCCAGGTCTACTCTTGCCACTTCATTCCCGCCCCCAGCGACGGCGCACCGCCATCATCGGCAGCGGCGATGTGTCTGCTCACAGCTAGCGACAGCAGCGTTCACCTGTGGGACGTCGAGACGCGGAAGCGTGTATCGTCCCGAGCCCTGTCGAAAGTCGGGGCACATTCCATCGGCGGGGAGCGGAACCCGGACGACCTCGCGTTCGTGTTCGATGCCAAGCCTCGCCCGGGGTCGGGGAGCTCCGTTCTCGCCGTCGCCCTAAGCGACGGCACGGTGAGGGTCGGGGATGTCCTCCAAGAGGGCGAAAAGGCCGCGGTGCTGCGAGGAGTCACCGACACCCATCTCACGAGTTTGGCGTGGTCGGACGATGGGACGGTCTTGGCTTCGTGCGGGGGAAACGGAACGATTACGGTGTGGGACACGAGAACCTGGACGGTAAGGTCGGTCTTGTGGGGCCACTCGAGACCGGTGTACGGGGCGGCCTTCTACCCCTGTGCTGGCAACGGCGGGGGAGGAGCGGCGGCGGCGGCGGCGGCGGCGGCGGCAACATCGGGACAAGACTGCCCGCCACAGCTCTTGCTGTCGTGGTCTAGCGACGAGACCGTGTGCGCTTGGGACACAGGAAGAGCCACCGGTGACGCGACAGCCCCGCTCGCAACCCTTTCAGTCGATAAAGGGTTTCCCGTATACAGTTGCTCGGTCTCGGCCGATGGCCGGAGGTTTGCCTTGGCGGGAGGAGGCGGAGATGAGAAGAGCGCCGGCTTCCTCGGCGTTCCCATCAAGCTCGTGGATCTGAGCGACGAAGCGAGAGCGAAAGACGGGAAAGACAGTTGTGCCGACAATGGGAGCAATAAACCAGCACAGGGATGACTGTTACTGCTGTGCATGTGATATGCTGCGGTCGTTCGATCTTAGCCTATGTTAGTGTATTTACTATCGGGGGGATTTTCTCATGGTCTGAGTGTGCCGTGACTCGGGCGAAGTATTAGAACCTAAGTGGGGAATGTATCTGGTAGAGATAACAATAGCGAGCGGGAATACATCGGTGGTACTCATCGGCAGTCTTTTTGGTGCTGTGCTTCAAGAGGGCGTCTCCGCTCGTCTCCTCTGTTTTATCCATCAAAAGCAAAGTAGTACTTTTCATGCCTACCAGCTAACCTGAGGAATTAAAACAACATTTTTTTCGTCGAAGAATTGACGAGGACAAGCCTTCCTTACCGAGCGTGGTAAGATACTGGTTCGTGAGTATGTTGTGCAGGCTTTTGCGCATGACCCGCACGCCACAAGCTGAAGCGCAAGTCGTGCATCGGGACATGTACGCCTCGAAAATGGCGTCCGTACTTCAGAGCGTAAGGGCAAACGCACAGTGGGGTCATCGCGGTGGTTCGTGCGTATGTTGTGCAGGCTTTCGCGCATGACCCGCACGCCACAACCTGAAGCGCAAGGCGTGCATGGGTAAACGTACGCCTCAAAATGGCGTCGTAGTTCAGAGCGTAATGGCAAACAGTAGGCTCATCGCGGTCGAGATTGCATAAGAGCAGTTCTGATGCTGAAAAATGAAAAGCCGCTCCCGATCGTTGTTGTTGTTGTTGTTGTTGTTGTTGTTGTTGTTGTTGTTGTCTTCACATTAAAAACCGTTCCGTTCTCTCTGCCCACTTGCTCTGTCCGTACTAGTCTAACAATTGACGGGGTCGATTCCCGTGGTCACAGGTTAGCTTACCCAAAAAAAGAGGTACACGAACATGAAATGGACCCGAAGGGTCTGCAAGCCACTTGAAGCCAACGACAGATAGTCTAGGCCACACCGCTCGCCTCTACACGCTATGCGAGGCAACCCTAGATTGGAAAAAGAATTAAAGAAAGAGAAAGAAAAAGACAAAAGAAAAAGAAGAGAGCAGATGGAGAATCGGGAAAGAGAAGGAGTAAGACACGAGACGGAGAAAGACACACGCCGTAGCGACAAACAACAAACAAACATGACAGAACAAAACAACACAAAACACAACACAGCACAAAGCGGGCCACCCGAGCCAGCAAATGGAGGTCATCGCTCGCGGGGGGTTGGTGCAATGGTGCAGTGCCGGGGGGGGGGGGNGCACAGTGTTTCGCGCCACTCGGTCCGCCTCTTCGCGTTTCCTGTCTTTCCTCGCCGCCTCGTCCGCCTGCTGTACCCCTCCCGCCCCCGTGGTTGTTGCCGTGTCCGTGTTGTTACTGGGCTTCTTGTTTTGTTCGAGCGCTCGTTGTCGGCTACCCTCCTCTTCCTTCTTGTGCCAGGAGGCCATGAACCTCTTAGCTCCCTGCAGTATCTCTGTACGCCACGGTACCCGCCGGTCTACCTTCGCTGCTTCCATCCAAGTTGTTTCCAAGACTCTGAAGAAGCATGGCTCGGCGTACGTAGGTCCGTGCTCTGCTTCGAACATCTTGAGATCGTCCCAGGCACATCTGACCGTACTTGTTTGATGTGCCAACAGCGTTGGGGCACACCCCACCCAAGATTGCAGCCCCAAAACCACAAAACGACACCGCCCACACCGCTACCAATACACGAAGTCCCGAGAATCTTACGCCTGGAATCTACAATAAGAGGTGCTGTCTAGCGCTTCAGCAGCTGTCATCTGCGAGAGCTGTCCTTCTGCTTGAGCTTCCCCTCTGCCACTTGCAAATCCTGCCGGAGTCGTTCAATCCACGTTTCCTTCCGAGCGATCTCAGCCTTAGCGGTGTTGAATAGGCACGATATGTTCTTGGCCAGCTGTTCGTTTTCGGCTCGTAAGACCTTCTCCTGCCACACACGCGCAACATCCACGGACATACGCAGAATAGAATTATGAGGCCTGCTTTTATGGGTCTTTAAGATGTCAACCCTCCTACTACTGAGAGCCCACATGGGGACACTTTGGGGACACTTTGGGACACAGCACTCAAAAGTCTATTTACCGCATTGTAGTCACCCTAGGCTCCGCTGCATGCAACGTACGTGAGAACCCTTGGGCTATCATGCTTGGCTGAGGTGGTACGCTGCGTGATATGCTGTGTGATGCCTCTCCTGGACCTCTGACTTGCTGTACACATCTCCCAACCTGCGTGCCCCCCAGTTCGCAAAACTGTAAATCGCCTGGCACTGGAAAAATTCGGTCACTTGGCTTCAGTATAAAAAGTGACCCCACGTGTTCCCCCCCCCGATGTTTACCATCGGGGTTGGGTTTTCGTCGCTTAGCAACTACGTTGTAAAACAAGCCCNGGTTTTCGTCGCTTGGCAACGACGTTGTAAAACAAGCCGCCACCTGGACGTGAAAAAGGCATACGACACCGAATGGGTTGAGGAAACAACTGTCAAATACGGGATCAAGGGGAAAATGTGGAGAGTGCTGAAGAAGATGACA